TCTGTTTTTAATGACGTGTAAAATCTTTGCAGGAAAAAAAAGGGACAATGTCAGATTAAAAATAAAACTGAACTGGTGCCTTATTTTTTAACTCTTCTAGTTAAATCTGAAAAACTTCAAATTTCTAATTTCTGTGTCAATTTTTATCATGCCATATAGATCCTTCCTTATGGAAGGTGACAAAACACTTCAGTAATTTGGTATATGATGCACAGAACCTTCAGGCTCTAAACACTGAAAAGCGGCACATGCAAAAACCTCAGAGAGCTGTTCCACCGAACATGCAGAAATCAAGAAACGAAAATATAAAGTCAATTTTTGCAAAAAAATCTCTGCTGAGTTTAAGGAAACTCCTCAGACCCTTAAAAGACAGTAAATAAAAGCAATACAATTTGGAGCCGAGATACGGTTTTGTTGTCCACTAGGTGGCAACATTCTCTCGATAATGAGACACACTGATTAAACATTATGTGAACCCAGGGGCACTCAGAATTTTTTTTGTTGTTTGGGTTTTGTTTGGTTGGCTTTTTAAAAAAAAGGTAGAGCAAGAATGGTAAAGTTACTTTTACTGATGTTTCTCTCCCTGCTCGTCTCCTTACAGAGATCCCCAACAAGCACAGCAAAAGACCTAAGGAAGAAAGTTCATCAGGTTCCACCCAGTCACTTCTTAATCTAATCTAAATTTTCAGTAGAGAAACTGTTCTGTTTTTATTTATAACATAAGTGCCCTCGCAAGCTTAGTTTGTTAACTATAAAGAACCTTGAACAGCAATATAGTACAAATTCCTGTAAAATTAAATGAAACTTTTTGGTTAGAGGCAACATCACAACAATCTTCAAATAACCACTGACTAATATCTAGTATGCTATTTGTCAGGCTCCTCAGAAAGTCAGACTCTCTGGGTCTCTCTATCCAGGATACCTTACAATACAAAGTAGACTAGAGATTTTTGCTGAACAGGAAGGGTCTTAAAGCCCTGGAGTCTTATGCCAAGTTGCATCTTACCTGATGTAAAAACCCCAAGGAAGTCTGAGAACCATGACTCCCAATTGTCCTGCAGTTTCTCTCTTCATATCACTACACTCAAAGCCTCTAACTTAATTTTTTCTTTTTCCCCTGTGCTCTCCACCAAAATCTGATTCTAAAAATTTTCAACATTTCACTCTGCTCCCAAACCCTGAAATTTCCCCCGGCCCTCCAGAATTGCTATTTCATAGACAATTAACTTCCGATTATTCTTACCTCAAACACAATGCATCTCAGAATTTTTCATGTTTTGAGTTTCTTACAGTTGAATTTGTGCAGAAGTTTTGCTAAACTGTTTCCACAATTTGTGTGTGCTTTCTTCTGAGAGCAACCAGATAAAAAAAAATACACAAAACTTTGGGGCTTTTTAATGTTTGATTTAATGCAGAAAGAAGTGTTTGGGGGGTGCTTTTTTGTTTCTTTGCTGGTTTTTTGCCTTTTTTTTTTAAAAATGAAATCAATAATTAAGATAAAATCAACCATAGTAGAGTTAATGGGAAAAACATCTAGTCAGCAAGGAAAATAGTAACTTAACCTTCTGGTAAGCAACAGTCACAGCTCTGGCCAGCCTAACATGCACTCTATAGGTGAATCAGGTAGGATTTAGCCCATGCATATAAACATACTCAACAATACAGAATTCATCATTTGAACCAGTTGTCTAGGCTTCCTTTTCCAGCAGTGGGGAGAAAAAGAGCCTTCTACAGTACTAGTCATGGGATTTTAGTTGTCTGCTGTAGGACTTCTAGAACTAGGTTACATGAATGCCCCCCAGGGAGACTAATAAGTTAAGATTCTTGCCAAGTACTCTGGGAATCACTACCAAGACTTCCATCGACCTCCTTTCTGCAACAGAACAGAAATACAGTACCATGGCTATTTAAAAGATTCCTTTTTAAAGTGACTGCATTAACCTCCAATGCAATGAATCTCCTTCCCATCTCCCATAGGAAAATTTATAGCTGACTATAAAAGCCTCAATATTTCTTATTCTTGTCAAGGAATGATGAGTGATTTGGCTAATACAAACTTGTCAATATAATAGCTCCATTAAGGCTGAATGATCTGTGAGGGTCTATTGCTACCACATTAGAATTTGAAATGAAAGCTTGATTCAAGTGTTTATATTAAAATTTTGGCTATATTTATGGCATCTTGGGATAATAACAGCAAAAATAAAAAGGGTTTTGTTCATTTGTCTTAAAAAGGATGCAAAAGAGCAAGAGAGCACAGTAAGAAAGCAGGGAAAGGCTAAAGGGAACATGATAGGCCATTAAAATTAGTCGCAAGTTATAAAATCTGAAAGAAATAATAATTCAGAGGGCCCAAGGAGTCATGAAGAAAGTTACAATCTTAACGACCCAAAAAGTGGATTCGAATAGTGGGGCAGATTTCCTGAGAGAGGCATCTATTAATGATGGCAAAGCACTCAAAGGAAGTAATGGACTCCTTGGGCTTGTGTTACTTAAATCAGGGCTAGAACCTTGAACTACCATAGGCAGCTGAGCAAACTGTTTACAAAACAAGTAATTAATTCCACCTACTGCCTCCTATCCTTCATGAATCACAGTACAAAAAGAAGATGGTAGGCAAAACCCATTTTTAAGAGGTAGAAAGTATGTACCCAAAATACGTATTTTACGGTAATATTATGTGAAAAATCCGCTAGTTTTGAAGAGGGAGCCTACAAGCTCTACCCCCCTTTGTTAGCTCCAAGGAAGTCTGTTATCATACTGAAGAGATGGACAGGTATGGATTTAAATTGCATGTTCTTCTGAGGAAAATATATGCTCGTGACTGATTAAATAAGACTAGTTTTCTTCAAGATTAGGCTTGGTTTTTTTCTTTTAAAATGTTTATCATCATTATTATAGATGTTTAAATACTTCACATGGCATCTCACGTTCCACAGCAAAAAATCCCCAGAGAAGGACCTAGTTTCAGTATGCATTGATGAATTCTAAGGATGGCAGATGGACATGACCAGATTATCAGGGTGAGGAGACACACAGAAAATCTAAACATAATAAGAAAAAATTGTGAGCCAAATAAGGCCTCACATAGCTGAAAAAAATTTAACATAAGCAAAGAGAAGTATGGAAGGAAAATTGAGATGTAGAGTGATTAAAAACTGGAACCAAGCCAGATTTTTTTTCTCTCCTTAATGTTTGCCCACAGTACTTCTATTGGGTTTTTTTTCTTTTCACATAATTCTTTAATTTTTAGTTCCATATTTTTTAAAAGACATTATATTATCGTAAGGGACCAGTAAAATGGTATCTTTCATTCAGAAAGTTAGTTTTGCATGTTCCTGATATTTTTTCATTAAATATCTTTGGAGATAACAAAAAACTCAATCCCAAACCTCTTTTACCCCCTGCCAGTGACATGTCTAATACGCAAAAGATGCTTTATCATACATACCTGAACCACATCAATAGCACTTCTTAAAATACTAAACACTCTCATAAATGGGAGAAGGGACATTCTTAATGGCTGTTGTTACAGTTTTACATAGTGTTAAGTAAAACAACCCACAACTAATTCTGACCTGTCTTTTTCCAGGACTACGAAGTTTTATGAGTGCTTTCACATGTAAATCTGAAAAGTGGGGTTTGGTTACCTTGGTGCATTAAAATAGATAAGCATTACCTTTAAACAATATGGAATGCGAAATAATAGACTTGTCTCTCTTGTTACCTTGATTTTTTTCTAAAGAAACATTTCTGATTGGCTAAAAATTAACTGTTCATTTAAACAACTTTTATGTATTTTTTTTATTTCTGTGACACAGGCCATCTACTACACTCACAGTTATGAGACAAGATTTAAAAGGAACACACACAAAGTGGACCCTTTAAATTTTGTAACCTCTGCTACAAATACAATGCCTTGAGACACTATGGACTTCATAACACAGACCAGCATTACATAATTGTATGTAACAAACACTGTTTAAAACACTTTCAGAAACCCAGAGGGCAGACTGTCTTTCCTGATACATATTCTCATGGCTATATTGAAAAGCCAAACTTCTCTGTATTTGGACAACAAAATTATACTGACATTACAACAATACCTAACTAGGTTTCATTAAAACAAGTGTTTCCCATTTTGGCTTTGACACAACAAATTAGATTTTTTCACTAACACGAAATAGGGAAAAATGGGGGAAAAATGATCAAGCAGTGAACCAAAAAAAGATTAGTATATGATGATGAAATCTTCCCAGAAGTGGATGATCTGTAAAAAAAATTGTCTGGATGCAAACTGTTTCTGTAGATGCTAAACACTGAAATGGACCATAAAAGGGGAGGGAAAAGAAGCTGGCATGGAGAGGCCATAATAAATAATAACGGTCACCTAGATAAAACCATCTTCTTCTCTGAATAGTTTCAACTTCCCGCCCCCCCCTTAATTTATTAGAACTGGATGGAAGACTTTAGAAACATAACGTCATTATTTAGCAAAAGTATTATTAGAATCATCACTTGACTGGCTTTGTGGTAGTCTCAAATGCCCTCCTCGTAAAAAAAAAAAAAAAAAAAAAAATCACATAGAAGTTGCACTGTATTTGTTTCATTCTGCCACATGCCAAGCAGATGAAGGAAATTAATGCCGAGACACAAATACTCTCAGCCACTGCTTTTCCCAGGCTTGTTCCCTCTCGGAGGAGTGAGCTCAGCACATGACTCCTTCCAGCATTCTTCCAAAGCCACAAGCCACACCCAATGGCCGTGAATCTTCTGCACTTAAAAAAGCTGTACTTTTTTAAAAGCTGACACTTTCGCTCTTAAGGAAGAACACAATTTTCCAGGTTTGGTTATTATTAAAATCTCAAACAAAAATACAGCAGAATCTCAGACAGGTGTGAGATTCCACCTAAGCACTTGCAAGTGCCATGTGCAAAGGCAAAGGGTAACAGCCCTACCACATACTGAGGGGATTCTGCAATGACATTAGAGCAGAGTATTCACCATTGGATGATCTCAGTGATTTGGGCCTCCCAGTGGGCCACGGACTCCTTTTTATCAGCCAGGTCTCTCATTTCTTCTTCCAGCTGCCGGTTATTCATACTCAGCCTCTCAAACATGGTGGTGAGCTGAATGAGAGTTGGAACAACTTGTTAAAGGTATAACCTGCTGTGACTCTGTCTCTGTGCAGACTTAAAGCCATGTATTCCCCTCTCACACATCGTGCATCTGCTTTAAAAATTGGTGCCACCCACCACAATAAACACCATGTAACAACAAAAACCAGAATCTCTTCTCATGACCTTAGCCGTATCGAAAGGCCGTTTTTAAGGACTAGAACTACATTTTTACTCTAAGAAATTAATTAGTCTTCTGAGAATTAGTCTCCAAATACCTCTACAACTCTTAGAAAGTTTCTGCTTTGCACCATATAGGTGTGGAATGTTCTATATAGAAAAAAACTACACTAAAAGAGCAAAGCAAGGGCACAAGAATCGTTACAGCTCAGATGAAACTGCCGAACCTCTCCCTTCTTTAGTAACCATGGAGAATGAGAGGCTTAGCAGATATAGGCAGGAGTCAGTCCTGAGATTCTCCAGGTGTCTCACATTCCCCTATTTTTCATTTTACCTACTTGCAGACAAGGAAATTGAAATTAAATGCACATCTGTAAGTACAATAGTCTACCTGGCAATCAAACTCTCACATTCACATAGCTGTCATTCATACATGCACATTCTGCAAGACAAAAGCCACAGCTAACCTGAGTTAGTATTGGGAACTAAACCTTCATTATGTCAAATAATTATTCAGAAAGTCAAACTGGAATCAGAGATCAGACAGACATTATAGGGAGGCCTACTTAGGAGAATCAACCTCATGTGAAAGGCTTCTTTTAGTACTGAAATATATTAACAAATCAAAATGATGAAAAAATAACAAGTCCTAAATCTATTCTGTTTTTTATTCTGAGTACTCCACTCTATATTTATCATTTAAATGGGCTTATGATTTAAATATGCCTATTTATTAAATGTAATTTGACAAGAAAAATACAAAGCTAACCAAATTTAAAAAAAAAAAAAAGAGACTGAGCAGAATAACTAGCAAAGTGACTCTTTTACTGTTCTTGGACTAAACCTACAAATAGGCATATATAGTATCCATCTAATACTGCTATGAAAATATACTTTAATTTGAACACTGACATGCAAACATGCTTACTTTGAAGAACACTGTACTTTCATCATATTTTTAGAAAATCTAACGCATTACAAAAAGAATAGACAAGTTTAGCAAGATCTGGCTAATCCACAATGAACTTGAATAACCTGTCAAAATGAACAATAAAGAGATAATCTAAATGCATGAAACATAATTATTCCTTGCTCAACGCACTTTAATTAATATGCCTTATCATTTGTATTTTTTTAATATCTCAAAGTAACACTTAATCACAATGGGTGGGAGGGGCCCTGCTATTTCACAGTAATTGACATGCAAATATAATCTAAGTAATCACATCATTAACTATGTATTTTTATATTTGGGCCATATAATGAAATAACTTTTTTTTTTTTTGCTTAAGATATCGTCTAAAATTAATCTTACCAAACTGCAAGACCATCTAACTCAATTCCTACACATAAATACACAAAGATGTGCATATATATGTGCACACATTCTCAAGTTCAGATGCATGTAGATGCCCTCTATTCAAATAAAATATTAATCACCACTTTTTGTGTAATATTAATTTCTGCTATCAATAAAGAGTTAATAATAACCAACACAGCTCTGTATTTGTACATAGTATACAGCAGTTGTAAACTCAAGACTAATCAGCACTTACCTTATCAAGTTCATTTGAAAGTTTTTTGTTTTCTTCTGTTAGCAGAATCTTTTCTCGTTCATACTTCTGTTTGAACTCTGTTTCAAATTCCTCTCTTTCACTTTGGCTAAGAAATAAAATGAAGTTGTATTAGAAAGTTTCCTATTCTAAAACTCATCACACTATTCACTTAAATACACAAGATCACACTAGCTGAACAGGAAGTATTACATTGGTAATACCACAGCCTATTAAAACCAAGCAAGTTATGTATTATACTACCATCTTAGGACTATAAGACAGTCAGTTAAATTTTATCATTAGACAATGATCTTTCCTTCAGTATGGAATTAATGGAGCTCCACTGAGATAACATTTGTCAATCCATTTACACATATTTTATTCTTTAGATGAATCTTTCAAATATTGAGCAGATGTAATTCTGCAGACCAAAGTGTATTGTCAATATTCTAAGACACTCAGGGTAAAAGCTCACAGAAACATTATCTTAACATACGACATTTCTGTAATTCCAAGTTTCACACAGAATGACAGCCAAAATGATCACATATGAAACCAGAACATACAGAAGCTAAATTAGAGTACTTTGGGCTGGGTTTCTGATGAGAGAAGGTTATATGGGCTAGTCTTTGGACAATTTAGAACTGCCAGAGGACAGATTCGAACTATTAAATGAGGTACTGTATGTTTACTATCAGCAAAAAGTGGATGGAAAACCTAGACACTCCTAATATCACCAGATTCTAGAGCAGGTCTGCACCATTCTTTCTGAGAAAGAGTTTCAACGTAGCTGTCTCCCCCAAACCTTTCCTTCTCCTGTGGATGTATTCAGTAGAGGAGAACCCCTGGTTGATTCTGCTTAACATCAACTTCAATCACGCACAATGAATATGAGAATCTGAAAATAAATGAAGCTGCAAGTCCTCCATTTGCCAAAAAACATTGTAATTTCCTTACAGTGGTGTACGGCAATGTTTTAAATGTAAATTCCCACCTCACATCCACTCTTTGGAGACTCACTACATTTGCATCTTGTATTCACTGTTTCACCAGTTACTCAGGTAACTGCCACAAAGCTCCTCAGTAGGCTGATGAAACTATTCTACAAATGCCACAGATAACAGTAAATACCACTCAGCAAATACCACTGTCCAGCCTTAAAAGGTTTGAAGAAGTGCCCCGTACAAAGGGTTAACGCTGTAAATGTAAAATCCAGGGGAAAACTTGTATTGAGCATTGCAATCTTTTTTCTGGATACTGAACAGAATTTTACATCGTAGAACAGTGAAATTACATCCTTGCCTCTTTTGCCGAGATGCAGAACTACTACAATTGCCAAATTGAGAGAACACCCTTAAAAGATGAGAAGTGTCAGTGGTTACAGTGAATCCAGTTAGGAGTAATGCTGGTTTGAATTTCCTATTCCTAATTTGAAATTCATTTAGTGCTTCAACCACTCTTTGAAATCTAGTACAGCATGTTAGACTGATGGTGAAATTCTATGTTGCTAAGCATCCTTTGAAACATAACACTACATCCTAGTAAAGTAACATACTATCCTTACTGTTTAAACGCCAAGTTTGAAATCCACCACCACTCCTTTTCTATATCAACAGATTCCATGCATATGATGAGCAGTCTAGGGAAAAGGCAGGAAGAGATTAAAGCATTGGCTGTCAGGGGAATTAATAACAGGTCCTGCTTCTGTTTGCAAGGCATAGATTCAAAGCTGATTTCTCAGACAGTAGACGTAGACTGAGATAATTTTTAATTAATTTATTACTTTTAGTTAGCTTTTATGGTTTTATTTAGGGTTTTTTATTCTGTATTTGTCTAAAATTTGTTCTTTTAAGTCTTTAAGGCTCAAAGAAGCCATTAATGGTGGTGGATTAAAGAAGGTTTGGATTGGTAAAAGAGTCCAACACATTTCTAGTTTTCTGTATTTTATGTTCTTAATTCAACTGGTGATTGTCACTAACTCAGTAAGTCAGACTGGTATAGTATAATACAGAAACAAAGATAAATTTTAAACAGAGGAGAATGTGGGTATAATCTATCACACCCAAATACCAACTCAGCAAACCACAGAACTGTGACAGACTCCATAGGCAAACCTTGGACAGCCAGGAAGATCAGAATAACACATTTACTTTGAAGCTTGGCACCCTCATCTCCCATCAAGCTTTTACTCTCATCTAAAATTTAGCTATGTATCCACTCTTCAAGATTAAGAAATCATACATGATCCAGCTTTTTTTTTATCAGGAAAATAACTGTAACAAACCGCATCCAAGCAACGTGAAATACAGCTTTATGGTATCACTTTGTCACTCCAGCTCTTTATTGCTGCTGTACAAAGTGAAGAAATATTTTATCTTACTGCTTTGAAACCAAGAAAAGTAGACCTGCAACAAACACCAGGCCTCAGGCTTCTTTATATCACACAATTTAAAAACAGCAAATGCTGTTTTATAAAGTTCTCTGCTTTATAAATCTATCATTATATGACGGGCTTAAAAGAAACTTGTACAAACATGATTTATTTTACACAGTTTCTTGCACCTTCTTCTGAAATATTTCATAATGACAATTCTAAGAAATGGAATATCATGCTACACAGATCACTGGCCTGTTACTGGGTTCCTACATTCCCAATTTTAATAGCATATAGTTTATGAGACTTTAGCGAAGGGCGATCATTTTGTACAGAAAGGTAGTTTCTCTCCCTTGAGGACTTATGCTGTTGAAATAACAGAAGTAAGAAAGCTTAAATTTGAAGGAAATAAAGAAAAAAACCCCAATTTTAAAAAATGAAACAAAAATCACCAACATGCAAGTTACATAAAAAAGTACACAGAGATTTTGACCAAGTTCTTGTTGACCCTTGCTTAGAATAACCTGCATAATTCACTCTATACTATAGCCCTTATGAAGTAACGCATCTGCATTCTCTTGCCAAAGCCTTTTTTTTTTAAAGTATGCACTAAAGATTATTTTTAGACTACTAAATTTTTTTTTGCCAAACTGTATATGCACACTTGAACCCCACGCCCACCCCAACGCTATTGTTGAAATAATTCCACTTATTTCAGCATAAAGCCTCCAGGTGCTTCCTTTTCAACACTTACATTGAACACCTCTGTACTGGAAGAGTCACAAAAAGCTCTGCATGCCTGATTACAAAAAGCTGAAAACAGTTATGTGCAAACAGGAACCAAAAAAAAAAAAAAAAAAAAAAAATCCATGTTCTGTTACGAAAAACTACCAAATATTGAGAATCGAGCAGCAACAGCCATTCTTCCATTATTAGTATTTAAGCTTCCCTTCTAGATGATCCCTGAACTACTACAGACGTCAATCCGTAGCACACCTTGAACAGTGGACTTCTGCATTTCTGTGCAGCCCTAATACTTGCATGAGATCCTGCAGATCTGTTTAACAAAACCCAGTCAAGATCAGGTATGATGCTGCAGCCCTTCCCATTAAGATGCTGGTTATGTGACACATTTCTATTCGTGCTTTAAAATGTTCTTTTACACGAACACTTGAAATACATACAGAAACACATGGTTACATCAGCACTCATTTTAGATTTGCATCCAGTTCTTTTTTTTATTCAGAGGGAGAAACTAGATTGAAAGAACTAGCTAGCACGAAGCAGATCAGCGTTATTCGGTCATTTGTTATTTCACTAGGTGGACATCTAGTTAGAACTTTTGCAGCTGTACGACTCCAAGGAGTTTTTGGTCTGGTCTGTGTTTGGAGGTATGATCTTTAGCAACAGTTTAGCCTGCAGAAAGAGGTATTAATGATTCTCTATTGAATATTCCTCATTCTGAGACACAACTGGACTGACATGGCATTAAAGGAGTATCATACTATCACCTTGATATATCGCAAGACAGCATAGCCTTTTGTGCATTTATAACTCATAGGTCAGCAAGACCATTAAGTTGTGGTACAATGAAAACACGCTGCTGATGCAAGTTTTACCTTTCAACCTAGAACAAAGCAGCAAACTACTGTGTTAATATGTCCAACCTATGAATAGCTGTATTCTAGGAAGAAACAGTTCATCCACTGCATTCTAGGCTGTATGATCTACTTCCCCTGCTGCAAACAATTTACCAAAAAACCAAACAATGTTTCCACCTCTACTTGTGTAAGCTTTTTGAAAAAGTTCTGCATTTTATTTACTACTTTTATTTAAGGACTTTAGTTA